ATTTCCTATGCTTTATAGGCAATGATTAGGCCCTCTGTTTGGAGCAGGACCTGCTGTGTCTGTAGGAGGGTATTCAGGTTGGCATGCTGTGAGCACAGTGGTGTGAATAGTGGTTCCGGACCTGGGCATCTTAGGAAATCAGCTTTGAAACAGGTTTTTCAGGGACTTTTCCTTGCCCTTACCAAAGGTCTCTCCTACAGCTCTGCACTAGATAACCTGGTTAAAATAGTAACTTCTCTTCCCTGGACCATAACGCAGGATTGTTCCAGCCTTTGCCAAGCTAAAGGAGTGTCAGTCATCCTGCTCTAATTCAGCCTTCAGAAGTGCTGGGGAATAGATGAGGTTGTCCTAATGGTGGGTCTCAGCAGCTGAAAGCAGAGCTGTGTAAGGAAATGCTGTAGAAGAGGCTCTTCAGATGCAATCTGCTCAAATAACTTGATTTTTTTTTTCCTTTCCCACCTCTGGGATTGCACCTGCTTTGCTGAGGTGGTGTTACTGTCCTCCCCAAAAGATTCACTGCTGGAGTGTGTCAGGGCCACTTTGAGGGTTGCTTTTCAGTCCATCGCACTTAAATGAATCTGAGCTGGGACGTGGCTCCTTTGCCTCTTTAAAATGGTCTTATCTTTCTTGTGCCTTATCAGATGGAGGTGCTGCCTCAGCCATGCTGCAATCCTGCGCGCAGCGAGGAGGATGCAGAGCACAGCCTGCTGCGAGCAGGCAGGAGGATTTGTTCTGCTTGGAGGGTCTGACACAGATCCACATCTCCAAGAGCATGTGGATAGGGAAGCTTGTCCTCCCACTTTGTGTAGATGAGGAGGAGGAAATCTGAATAAGAACCTCTTTGTGTGTGCGTATCTATGTACTGCCTCATTTAGCCTGAGGTTTTCTCACATGTGCTCCCGTGCATGAAACATCAGACTGAGATACATTGCTCCACTGAAACGTTTGGCATTGGTAAGCTATTTTGTTGTTGTCCTCCCAGTAAACCCTTGGCCTTTTTATCATGCTTCATACTTTTAACTGTCTTACTTGTGACTATTGCCATAAAGTACGAGTGAAACACCTGCTTTTCTAAATGTTTCAGTAAGGCAAAACTGCTTCAGCAGGTTGTGTGTGAAGTATGATACCCCATTGGGCGCAACTCAGCTTTGAGTCTGTAAATAGAAGTTTTAATCTCTGTTCTGGTGTTTCATTAGCTAGGTTTCCACTGGGACAGAGGCCCACAGTAGCCCAAGATAGCATGGCTCACATACGTGGCCTTTTTCTAGAAGTGTTTGCTTTAGCTAACTTGCTCTCATAGCGAGCTTTGTGGCTTTGTGTAACAGTGCTACTCTGTCCATGGCACCAAAATCACAGTTGGTAAACATCTCTTTTCTAAAATCTGTTCATCGTGTGTTCCTCCGCCTGTCTCCAGAGCTGCAGTAAGGCTGTGCGTGAGAGCTGAACCCAGAGAGGCCTTGGTGGCTTCACCGAGCACACAGCTGCTTCTGTAAACGTAGATAGACTGGTGGGTCACTGCTAAGCGTCGTTCCTGTTACATGGATTCATACCGTGCTATGCTGAAACCTCTTTGAGCTGATCTTTTTTTCTGGTAAACCTTCACTCAAGGGTTTGAATGGAGAGGAGGAGCTGTAAGCTGCCCCTTCTGGCTGGTGAAGGAGCTGGGGGTAGGAGAGCAGCTCAGGGGTTGGAAGACCCCGAGAAGCGCCTCCAGGAACTCAGATTTTCACAAAAACTGACGCAGCTTTGCATCAGTTTATTCTGAGGAGGTATATTTAGGTCTGAAAGAGTAATTACACAGCTTTGAATAAGCCTCAAGTCAGAAGAGGGCAAGGCTCAGCTTGGCAGGGATTCAACCTTCTGGGAGTCTTTCTGCACAATGGTACAGTTGGCTTTTTTAAAATAAAACTTCTGAAGACCCGTTGCAATGACACCTCGTACCAGGCAGCGGTCTGGTCTATTTCTGGCTCTCCAAATACAGAGTAAAACTTAAAATTAGACACTTCTGGTTTTAAGCTGCTAGTTTCTGCTTTGCTTTTAGGTGCCTTGTGATTAGGATGGAAGGAAACGCCTCTCTCGGTGCAGCCCTCACCACGCTGCCTGTGTGCTTTTGGTTTCTGTGTGGTGGTTCCTAATTGTACATCACAGAATATTCTAGGGCTGAGTACAAAACTGCTCCTCATCTGAGTCTGCTTTTTTCCCTATTTCAGTGTTCTCTAATTAGCAGCCTAACGATAGCTTGGTGGGAGGCGGATGGACAAAGCCCATCGCTTCCCCACATGCCATCTTCTGGAAATCTGGAACTGATTTTTTTGGTTCGGCTTGAAACAATAGTGCGGTTACTCGCTTGTCTAATAGTAGAGACTCCGTTCCCACCCTTAAAAGCCACTCTTTAAAGTAAAAAAGAAAGTTGAAAGTAATTGCTGAATTATTTTGAAACTTGTGACAGGAAAGCAGCTCTGAATTTTATCTTGTGAACTCCTTTCTGCCCTGTGCAGACTGTTCCGAAGACATAAAAAGCCCCAAGCTAAGTGTGCACCTGCAGCTCGGGTTCGTGTTCGCGGTGCTGTGGGTAACATAACCCCTCCCAAATCCTTTTCCTAATCCCTTGCACTGTGTGGTATCTACAGCAGTTCTGGAAAGCCAACATACATCCTTAATAAGAAGCAGAATGTCTGTTAGAGCTTATGCTAACAGCAAATTAGCTGTGAAGGAGCTCTATTACTAATCAGTACTTTTTCCCCGGTTTGAAGTAATTAGCCTTCATTGAACTTAGCAGCATCCAGCAGATGCTTAATCATGGCACATTGTAATATGAGCGAGAACTCATGAGTAAGGAAACTCGGGTGCTGGAGCAGTCCTTGCCGATCCCACTGATGAAGCAGCTGCGGGGAGCCGGGCACATGTGATGGGCACCAGGGAGCTGGGGCTTAGTCACTTAAATATCAGCTTGTGACAGGAGTTGGAGCTCTGAGCCGCGCCTGTGGCCGAGGTTTGCAGCACTGGGCTGTTGGACCCGTCTGAGCTGAGGACCGTTCACTTGTAGCTGTCTCCTAGGATTCAGCTGGAAGCTCTGGTGTCCTTAGCAGAACTAGGATTAACCTTGCTCTAGAAACCAGCAGTTCCTTTTTAAAGACGACTAACAGTCCTAAAATATTTGGTGTTTTCTGCATCCCGTGTACTTTCCTTGTGTTTCCTAAGCACATGTGTTTGCAAGCATTTTTCTGTTCTGTTGAATTCCTTTTTTCATCTGTATCTGAGTTTTCCTTCCTTTGGGTTATTCAAGATACCTATGATTAAGTCAGGTTTAAGATGCCTCCCATCTGAAATTTAACTTGTCTGACTTGGCTGGCTCGGTGAATATTTTATTATGGGCAAAGTCTTTTTAATCCCTCTGGAAGTGTTTCTTCCCCTGTCTGAAGGAGCTGGGGTGAGTTGAGCAGAGCAATGAGAACCAGATCTCATCTTGAATTAATCCTAGATTCAAAGGTATTTTCGGCACTTAGATGTCTCACTTTTCAATGACTTCAATGCCTAGCATTGGTCCTGTCTGGAAGGAGTTTAAGTTCACTGCCTTGAAGGATTTGCTGCCTTCTGTTTTCCCACGTTTTAAACAGGGATGATCAGCCCTTCTCTGCATTACAGAGGATTATGGGTTTCAGTTACTTGTCAACTACTCCTTTGCTGTTCTCTGTGTTTGCCTTGGCCAGCACATTTGGGTCCCACGGAGTAGCTCAGAGGACTAGAGGGGACCTCCTGGGTCAGGATCCAGTCCCTGGTATCTGTTCCGTTGGATACTGGGGTTACAGAAGGGCTTGCTGGGCTGTGTGCTGGCTTCTGCCCCTCTTCCCCAGAGGAGACTCAAGGCGGTACCAGGACTGATGATCGTTCTCCCCTTTGCCACCGATCCCTTTGGCTCGCACTGTGCCCGGGTCAGATGGTGGGAAGCCTCCCTAAAGCAAACACTTTATCGGGTGCCCTTGCCCCTTTGTCCTGTTCGAAGAGGAGAGATAAGAGTGAAATGCAAACTTGCAAACTCATAGCTGTCAAAAGTGCCTTCCCTTCCCTCCCTCTGGCCTCATTACTTTGAGAACTTAATTGGCTGAGAGACAAGTGCTGAGCCATAAACGGATCAGGCCCTGCAGAGGCTCAGTGGGGAACCAGAGCCTTGTGGAAGGGCCCCCACATGTCATTTCCAGGCTCCTGTGAACCTGTCTCCTTTGAAGGGTGAAATCCAGCTTCCCCCGAGGGCTCTGCACAAGCCAAAACTACACCTGAACAGATTCCTGTGCTCGGGAAGGCTCCTCCAGTGGACTTCTCCACTGCCCTGAGGATCAGAGTAGGCTGCTCAGTAGCTGTGCAAGCAGAACCACCTCCTCACTGGCTGAGACTGCTTAATGGTTTGAAACTCCCTCCATGGCTTGAAGCACAGGGTTTGCTTGGCATTGTCCTGTCTGTGCACACCAAGGAGTGTTTCCAGTTGCATTTTTGTCTTCCTTTGAGCTGGCCACTCTCACTGGCTTAGTCCCAGCGTAAGAAGCAGAGTGGCTGCCTGGGAAGGACAGACAGTCCAGGGCACATAGCACGTTTGCTGTACAGAGGCCATACAAAACAGGCACACTGTAGGAAAATAAGCTTACGAACCTTCAGCCCAGTTCGGTTACAGAGGCTGGATCTGTCCAGGCCGGATGGTGAATGTGCTAAACCGGCTAAGCAGGAAATGTCGGAGAGCTTGTGAGAGTTTTAAAGGCAAACTGCGTTGATGGGATGATAGTCTTCCCTGTAACCTAGGTGGATTTTACCTGTACCTTGACTAGTGAAAAGCTTGATGCTAATGTAAGGCCTTTGTGTGGTGCAATTTCAGCAGGTGTGGACCAAGCCGTGTCGTAGAGGATCTTTGCAGGCCGGGTCAACAGTCATTTAAAAAGATACTTTGTAGCTGGGATTGATACAGTTTTGTACTTTATTTGAAGAATTTTTCTTTTCTTTTTTTTTCATAGAGAGGAAGTTCAGGAGAACTGTGTCCGCTGGAAAAAGAAATTCACCTTCGTGTGTAAAATGAGTGCCAACCCAGCCACGGGACTCCTGGACCCCTGCATCTGCCGAGTATCTGTCCGTAAGGTGAGCATCCAGCTTCTGCTTCTGGCAGGCAGTACCACCACTGTACCGGTGGTGTTTACTGGCTGCTTTTTTGGCAGTAAGAAGAAATGCATGGACAGTGGTGGAAACGAAGGATTGTTTGGGTCAGGATGTGACTTGAACGGGGCTTCTCTCTCCAGCAAGGGTGCTTGACAGAGGGTGGGAGCAACCAGGGTGGTGGTAACCCTTGAGAGACAGAGGTTTGTGAAATCCTGAGAGCAAATTCCAGGGCTGAGTAATGACTTTCCCCCTGTTTCCCCAGCACATATAATAGCTGCTTTTCCTGTTTGTTTTGTCTCCCGTTATAGGAGCTGAAGGGCGGAAAAACCTACTCAAAGGTAAGAGCACAGAAAGGGCAAATGTGGCAGAGTGATGATGGTTTTGTTTTCTGTTAGTGCCTTACACCAGTTAGAAACCAGTGTCTGCTGCCTGAAGCAATCTGCAGAGACAGTCATTAGTTCTTAGTTTAATCCTGAGTTAAGTGATTTCCCAAAAAAATTGACTTGCTGGGACAGGATCCAGATTGCACTGGATGTGGATTTGAGAAGGGGGTTGGGAAGATGATCTGCATGTCCTCAAACTTTGGGGAAGTTCTGAGTCAGATGTGAACTCTCTGGCTTCTGGCAACGTCTTGCTAATAAAGAAACACAGACTCCAGTGCTGTTCTCCAGAACACAGCAGCTGGCTATGGCTGGAGTAGGCACCTCACTGCCTCATGAGTGCAGGCAGAAACCTACAGCAGAAATCACTGCCTTCCGAAGCACAAGAGACACTGAGACAAGAACCCAAACTGCTCAGCAGAAATGTTAGTTTTGGTTGTTCCTCCCTGTTTTCTCGCCTTGTGCTATGGGAGAGACAATGGGCCACCCTTTTCTCCTCTGTGTGCTGGATCAAGAGACAATGTTGGCTTAGAAGCTGAGCTTGCGCAGAGCCTAAAACCACGTTTGTTTGAAAATGAGTCACTGCTGCTAGTTTCTAATACACACATGTTCAGGTCACGCACGACCTTATAAGGATTTCTTCTGATCAGTACCCTTCCTGAGACCACAAAGGCACCTGGCTTTGAAGTGTGAACCACACTCGCTGTGTGGGCAACATGTCTGCCCACACCGTTCCTTTTTTGTTGCTAATTAGGGCATGGTCTCTAGGGATATCAATTTCTCTTTCACTAAATTCACACTGAGGGGAGGTTATTCCTCCATTCTGCAGAGCTGCCTGTCCAGAGAGAGTAGCATAGCTGGAGGAAGAGACGTATCTCTAAGACGAGGTAAATGCATCAGCTTGCTCCTCCCGCAGTGTCCATCTTCAAGCTTCCCGCAGTACTTGCTGCATTCCCCCAGGAAATGCTGCATTAAAGGAAGCCTGAAGGCATGTCTCCCTGATGGAGTTAACCTGGGCTCTTATTCAGGCCGTGTTCTAATCTACTTCCCCTTTACTTGGTCTCCAGTTGCATTTCAGCAGCTCCAAGACGAGGGATGTCGCACCAGTCAGGGTGATTCAGCCTTGCAGTCTTGCCCTGTGGACCAAGCTTGTCCCAGACAGATCCTTGTGGCAGAAGTGACTTATTTCCTACCATTTCTAGCAGAAGTCTGTGGTGTATGTTCATGAAACTCTTTTTCCATTCTAAACAATGAGTCCTCACCTTTTTAAACTATATTCATTCAGCTGAAAAATCCTCCAATCATGGCAGCAGATGTAGAGGAAAATGCAGCTTGTGAATGCCCTCTTTACCTGGTCCCCCCTTCAGC